GGCACTAATTCCATTAGGAGGGCTCCACCCCTGGGACCTAATTCCCTCCCCAAGGCCCCACCTCGCATCACGCTGGGGATCGGGGCTTCAACACATGAATTTATAGGGGACACATTCAATCCACAGCACTGTTCTCCATTTTTGTGCATAATCTTAGCACCTTTAACACAGTAAAGAATCTACTGTTCTCTCTTCCTCCTAGAATATAGTCTCCACAAAGACAAAGATCTCCTCCTGTTTAGTCACTGATTTGTGTCAGTGGCCAGTAACTATTCCCAGAATGTGATAGGCAGTCATTAATTACTGGATGGATGGATAGAACAATGACTCATGTCTTTGCAGAGAACTCTTAAAAGAAGTAGATCAGCCTGACTCTCCAGAGCCCCTGGGGCCCATCAGATGGCCTTCCTCCACCGCAAGCTGTGGTGCACCACAGCTCTCAGTCTAGTTCACCGACGGGCCCGGGCGGGATAAATGGAGGGGGAGGTCTGGCCACTCATCCTAGTGGGGAAGAGTGAAGGCGGCAGACTCCCAGCCTGACTCTACCACTGACTGACCATGTGGCCCAACTCTCTGAGCCTCAGTCTCCAATTCTACAGAATGGGAATAATTCTTACCTCCACTGCTCAGCATTATTGTGAGGAACACGTGAACCAGTGTGTGAAGCACTTGACACAGTGCTGGGGATGTGGCAAATGAGCCTTAACTGTCCCTACTTTTATCTCAGGGCAGAGCCTGCAGGTAGAGATAAGAATAGTAACCCCACCAGGCTGCCCCCAAAGGTGCTGAGCTCACTGTGAAGGGACTGAATAGAAAAAAGGAAGTCTCCTTCGCAACTGGGGCAAGTCGAATTTGCCCAAGAGTGGGGTGAGATTCCAGGGTTTGCTCAATGACAGAGCTTGAGGTCTGGGAAGGAAGACAGGAGGGGGACTGGCCAGTGACCAGTACAGCTCCACATCAGAGAATGGGCTGGCTCCTCCGTATCCCACGTATGTCCCAAGACGTATACCAGGCCTCCAAGGTAGCCTTACTACTCTGTTCTGGAAGATTCTCCTTCAATGCCTCTGGGAAGAGAGCTCTCTTGGCCTCATTCTCCACCCTCGGGTCCAGATGCCCTCACTGAGGCTGTGTCTCCTTCACAACCCTTCTCTTGGCCTGACTCCCTTTCTCCCACAGCCTTCCCGGAGGCTGTTTCTGCCTCAGGGTCACCATGCTTGTTGTCTCTAGGGTGCTGAGAGAGCGTCTGGGTCAGGGGAGGGCCTGGGAAATGCCATATTTGAGCCTCTGAAGGAACGCTCTGCTTCTCAGAGACCTCTGCCCCACCTCCCTCTCTTGGCCTTGGCATGGCATCCCCGAGGAAGGCTTAGAATGTGCCCGAGTGGCTGGCAGGAAAGGAGAGAGATATGGACACCTCTGGTTTGGACAAGTTTCTCCAGACTTCAGTGGTCTGGGCTTGGTGAAGCAGCCTCACAGTTGGCAAGGCCTGGCCTGGCCTTGAGGACCTCCTGAGCTGTCAGAATCCTCGTCTGTCCCCCTTTTCTGCCTGTTGTGCACTTTTTCAGGAGCCCCGATCCTGACACCGTGAATAGCTTCACATCCATCTGTTGTGTTGTGGCTGTTAAAGGGGTTGCCCATCAATCCTTCTGCTCGTTCTTCAGTCGTCAGGACCAAAATTACCATCTGGCCCTAGAGAGAAAGGAAGCAGGAGGGCAGAGCAGCTTGCCCCGGGCAGAAGCGTCTCTGCCCAGCCCTCTCCTCTGTCTCACCACCCGAATCACCAGCAGACCTTGTGATTAGAGAGCTGGGCTGGTTTCATCCCCATCCTGCCTGAGCTCTCCTCCAGCCTCACAGGATAAGACATACCACCAGGCTGCCGGGGATACAGGAGGATAGGGCGGGGGCTGGCCCCAGGCCCAAAAGCACTAGACCAACCCAGCCTGGGTGTGGGTGGCAGAGTGCTCAGGCCTTGGAAACCAGAGCCTGGTGGAGGACTGGCTGGCCTCGCTTAGAGCAGGTGTCAAGGGATTCCTCTGGATTCAAAAGCCAAGATTTTGAGGGACAGGGAGAGGACCCAAGGTGGAGCACAGCTTCTGAAGGTACAACTCGAGGCTGGCCAGCAATCATCCAGTCGGGGCTCGGGAGCGTGGTGAGGCCTTCAAAGTCCTCGGCTGTGTCCAAGGAGCCTCTTGTTCAGTGGAGACGAGGTGGTGACCCTCTGCTGTGTGGTCAGTTCTGAGTGACTCACAACTACTGGAGTCTGTCCACAGGAGGGCCACTGGGCTGGCAAAATGAAACCAGATTGTCTCACAAGGAACTGGAAATGTTTCACCTGGTAGAGAATGGAACTGGGGGGTGGGGGGGACTGTGCACCCCGTCTTCCCCTACGGGAAAGGAGAAGGTGGAGAAGCAGGAACCCACACGCCTATGGAAACCTCGGGGCACAGTCTGGGCCCCTTGCTGGTTGCCCCCGAGACAACAATTTTCATCCAGTGGGGGAGAGTTCTCCCAAGGTGGAGCAGCCCAGGGAAGAGTGCCCGGCCAGGACGGCCCAGTCAGCTTGCAGGCGAGGATGAGAGGGCCAGCCTTCCGCATCTCCTCCAACACAGGGACCCCAGGGGCCTTTCCAAGCCCTTGCCCGGTGGCCCGTCGTCCCTTGTGCCTCAGAGCCTGAGCCTGAGGGCTTCTCTCCGGCTGCACCTCTGGGCCCCAGATGAGCTGCTTTTGTTGTGCTGTCTCTCCGCTCTCGGGATCAGCGAGCCCCTGCTCTCCTCAGGGGAGGTGCTGGGGTCGGGGCACACGGGGACACACTGCCTTACTCCCTCGAATGCTTCTAAGGAGGTTTGCAGTCCCCGGGCCATCTCCCACACACAGCAAATGGGGAGTCCCACACCCCCTCCCAGACACACATATAAAATACACTCCTTACCCCCCTGCCCCCTGGCTCCTTCACCTGCTGTTCAAAGTCCCTCTGAGAGAGCTGGATTTTTGTTTCAAACTTTTTTAGCTGAAGAATAACATATATGCAGATAGAACCATGCAAACATACATACCAAAATAAATGTTCAACTCAATAATTTAAAACAAAGCCAACATTTAGGTAACCACCAGCCAGGTCAGGAAACAGCACACTCCCAACTCCCAGGAAGCACCCTTTGGTCTACTGTCAATCATCTTCCCCAGAGAAGGCAATGGTGACCCACTCCAGTACTCTTGCTTGGAAAATCCCATGGATGGAGGAGCCTGGTAGGCTGCCATCTATGGGGTCACACAGGGTTGGACACTACTGAAGTGATTTAGCAGCAGCAGCAATCATTTTCCCACTCCCTCCTCCCCAAGATACCCACCCCTGACTCTAAGTCTGTGGTCTTTTTTGCCTGTTTGGAAAGTATATGTAAGTCTAATTGTGTATGTGTTCTTTGTCTGGCTTCTTTTGCTAGCACTGTATTTGTGGGATTTGTCCTTAATGAGTGGAGCTCTGGTTTGCCCATTTTTAATGCTGTAATGTACAGCATTTTTAATGTATGAGTTAGGTGAATAACCACAAGTTATTTGCCCATTGTACTATTGATGGACATTTGGGTTGTGTCCAGGTTGGAGCTTTTATAAACCATGCTTCAGAACCGGTGCAGACAGTTCTTCTGGATATCCACCTGGGCCTGGGGTTGGTGGGTCTCAGGGCTGTGTACACTCAGCTGCAGGAGATGCTGCCCATTTCCCGGGTGGCTGGAAGAACTGAGTCTCAGTGTTCTCTTGAGGTGTCAGTGGTTGCCATGGGGACAGTGGGGGCCAAGAGGATGGCTTCCTTACAGAAGAGGGGTGTGTCCCCCTCTATCACAGGGTGCTGTTCGCTGGGATGGGCGTGGGGGCAGCTGGGGTGTGCACTACAGAGTCCTGCTTATGGAGAGGGAAGGGGGTCAGTTAGGAGACTGGTGCAGTTGTCCAGGTGACGGGAGACCGTGGCCTGAACTGGGGCAGGTGTGATGGCATGGGGATAAGGGGACAGTCACAGGGTATGAGGAGGAATTGGTAGGATTTGGTGCCTAATCAGCACTGGGGAGAAGCAGAGGTGTCCGTGGAAATGCTTGGTTATTGCTGAGATGGTAAACACAGGAGGAGTAGATTCTGGGGAAAAGTGAGTTTGTCCATATACTCCAGTACCATGAAGCTCCAGGGGGCCAACTTGTAAGAGCCTGCCTGCTTGGGAGGCCAAAGCCAGGCTGAGCATATCTTTGGTAAAACTCAGAGATATTCCGAGAGTCTGGACTGACACCCAGGTGCCAATCAGCAGCCTCAGAGTGTCTAAGGCCTGCAAGGATCTCACTAAAAGCAAAAATTGGAGGTTTCTTTTTTGCTGCTGTAGGGCTGCTTTAAGAAGCAGAACCTCCCTTCTTTCAAGGGCTTTGAGCATAAACTGAGTATGCATGGCTACAGAACCTCCTGGAACATCAGCAGCATAGAGGGAAACCAAGCATATCCAGGGCTGATGGAGCCCAGGGCCGTAAGACAGTATCGAGGAGCCTGGGTTTGGTTGAGGCCAGCACTGATGACTCCAGAGGTCCAGTTGAGAGCAAGGACCCTAAAAGCAGGAGGTCCTGGGCCTCTGGTGATGCTTACATTCAGGCCCATCACGGTGTGGTCCCAAGGAACCAGGATTTGCAGAACAAATGGGGAGCAGGGCCCAGCCCCCATGGCAGGCACAATAGAAGCAAACCAGCATGCCACACCCTGCTAGATAGGTGGAAGCTGGGCTGGGGCATTTCTGTCCTCTTTCCTAACAAAGGACTAGGGCCTTGTGAAGAAAACAGAGGCACGGGGTTCCATCTTGGGGAGGAAGCCAGCCGCTGGAGATGGGGAGCCTCAGGCTCTGTGGGCACGCTGACCCCAGACCTTCCGCAGCCTCCCAGGATCCCAGGCGTCTGCACCCACGAGTAATCCCCACCAGCCCCTGGGCCTGAGGCTCCCCCACGCCCTCTGACCCCACTCTCCACCCTGGCTCCTAGGGAGGCCCCATCCAGAACCGCAAGTCCAAGCGCTGTCTGGAGCTGCAGGAGAACCACGAAGCGGAGTTCGGCTTCCAGCTGGTGCTGCAGAGGTGCTCGGGCCAGCACTGGAGCATCACCAACGTCCTGAGGAGCCTGGCATCCTGACCCCGCCGGGAGCCGCCCCCACGCCCCGTCCCTTTGCTACTGTGTAGCGCCCGCTGCAACGCTGCCTGCTGTCCGTGTGGGCTGTTTGGAGTCTGGGGAACCAGGTTCGTGGGCCCCCAAAAGAGCTTTGTATTTCCTATTCAATTGTCATGGAGTTTATAGAAAGATGCCGAATGGTGGGTGAGGGTATAATATCATAAACTATTTTGCAACTGTAAATAGGGGACACGTGGAAAATATTTATAACTGACAATAAAATACCATTGATTAAGAAAAGGGTTGTTACAGTCATTTGATGGAGATTCAGGCCTGGCTCCTCTGAACTTGGAGCCCAAGATGTGGCTGTGTTTGCCCTCCCTGCTCCCACCCCTGAGAAATGAGGCTTTAAGGCCCTGCAGACAGTGGGAGCTTGTTGTGCAAGCTGCCAGCTTTCTCTTTTGGGGCCCAGGGAGACGAGATGGGCACCTCAGGGTCACCTCCAGAGAGAGGGTTCCCTCTGCCTCCACGGGACGCCTTAGTCCTTCATCCTGAGAAACCAGGAAGGCTCATCAACCACTGGGCTTCAGACCACACTGCTCTCCAGAAGCTACCGCCTTCACCTCCCAAAGCTGTCCACGGCTCAGGCACTCAGCAGTGAGACTTGCGTCAGCAACTGCCACATCCAGCTGCTGAGACCATCAGCTCCTTCCATGAATCACAGTGCATTAGTTCCCAGGGGCAACAACGTGCCACACACTGGGTGGCTTAAACAGCTGTCGTCACACGGTCCTGAAGGCTAGGAGTCTGAAGTCGGGGTGTCAGCTGGGCTGGCTCCTTCTGAGAGCTGTGAGGAGAATCAGGTCCAGGCCTCTCCCCAAGCGTCTAGAAGCCTCAGGGGCTCCTTGGCTTGTAGGTGGCCGGCTTCCCCTGCGTGTTCCTCCCCGTGTCATCACCCTCACTCCTTCTGCGCTCGCCCCGATCACCTCTTGAGTGCCAGTCTCTAGCCCTGTTCCTGGGAGAAGCAGCTCACAGCCAGTCCCTCTGTACAAGGGCCCCCACCCATGACACAGTGATACTCAAATCCCCGTCTGTGGCCGGACCTCTCCTCTGCGCCCCAGGTCCCATCTCCCACTGCTGACGGGCCCCGGGCAGCTGGGCGGCTGCCCCTGGACAGTGCTCATCTGACGTGCAGAAAGCAGAGCTGTCGCTCATCCTCCCAGGCCCAGCCAAGTGACCAGCACCGCCCTCCTCCAGGCGCTCACACCAGCGTCCTCTGTCTCTCACCTCCCCACTCCTCACTCCCATATCTTGTCAGTCCATCGTGGCAGTGATGCTCCTTCAACAGCCACAGAATCCCCTCCCTGGGCCCCCTCATCACTCACGAGGACCTGCCTCCCCATCTCCAGCCTTCCTCCATTCCTGTCTCACCTCCCCTCCACACGAGTTTTCAAGGAATCTTTCTGAAATGCAAATAGGATGAGATTTTTTTCCTGGCCTTCAGTGGGTCTCACCAAAGATGGTAAATACCTAGTTAAGATGCCAGACTCAAAGCTTCCTCCTGCGACGAGTCCAGGGGCCAAGTGTCAGAAGCACCCAGGTTAGGGGCCTTACACACAGGGGTGGGTGTGAGTGCAAGAAGGCCTGGCCTCCTAGCTGACACCCTCCCTGGACGTCTGTAGCCCTAGTCCACCCTCTAGGGACGGTGGTGTCCAAAGGCTTCTTCCCTTCTTTTCGGGAAGTTTTTCTTGGTGTGTTACTAGTTTGCTGGAGCTTCTATAACAAAATACCATAGACCAGCTATTAAGACCAGGCTTAAACAACAGAAGTGTGGTGTTTCACAATCCAGGAGCCCAGAAGCCCAGAATGAAGGTGTTGGCAGTGTTGATTCCCCCGAGAGCTGTGAAGAAAGGCGGTGTGCAAGGCCTTGCTTCCTAGCTGGTAAATAACCATCTTCTTTCTGTGTCTTGTTTCCAAATTTCTCCTTATTATAAGGACACCACTTGTACTGGATTAATGTCCATCCTAATGACCTCATTTTAGCATCAGTACCTTGGTTAAGACCCCATCTCCAAACAAGGTAACATTCTGAAGTCAAGACTTCAACATATGAATAGGGGGCACAATTTAACTCCTAACAGAGGATCAGAGGAGGGGGAAGAGAAGACCCGAGACCCCAGAAGGCTGCCTCCACTTGAGCCCACTTTGCCCAGCAAGTCCTGCCTGTGGGGCAGCCCAGGTATCCCTGCCTCCACAGGGTGGGTCCCGAGCAGGTGACAGGGGCTTTACCAAAGGACCTGGGATGTTCATCATGGCCCTCTGTCCACGCGCTTCTAAGGAAAACTGTCCCAACCATAGCCCCATCAGTGACCCCACTTGTACCATGACCAGTTCCACCCCCCATAGCTGATCTGACCAGACCTGCGGGCAGTATCCAGAGACTGGTCAGTGATTGATGACAACACAAGAGGGTGAGCTGGGCTGATCACATTCTGCCTGCAAACTGGTACCATGACACAGTTGGTGAAGAAGGCCAGGAGCCACAACCATACACAGAGACGGGCCCCAGAGGGCTGAGCGAGCCAGAGCCTGTGTGTGCTGAGGCTGAGAGGGGGAAGCCAAGGCAAGCAGAGGACAGAGGGATGCTGGTGAACGGAGGCAGCGGACCCACCACATGGAGCTCTGATGGGGCCGTGACACAGACGGGGACGACAGACAGACCCCCTCACCCCAGACCCAGCCTGCTCACGTGCTGCTGACTCTTGCCCCTGCTCTTTACAACAAACAAGACTGACTGCCAGAATCAGGGTGTAAAGATGTCAGACATCAGAATCTACTCATGCACAGACCTTCAATTGTGTGTGGACGCACACACAATCTCTACAACTGCTGTGCACACAAGTAACAGGTAGGCATGTGTTTGCACCTTCAGTGTTTGCATGCACATACACAGGCTTCACACATCCACATGTGTGCACATGCATGCAGTATGTCACACACACACACACTCTGACCCCAAATGGGAAAGTTATTTCTGTCCACTCTCCAAACGTCTTTTCACAGGAACAAGGCTGCTGTGATTTAACATTATTTAACATGGTCCCTGTGAAGCAGAGGCTGCTGGAAATCAGAGTCCTCTTATTCTCGTCATCTCTTTCTAAATACAGACAGGAGATCCAAGGGAGTTCTGAGGCAAGACAGAGACTCCCTGGCCTTAAGAGTCTATGTTTGCTTGCTTTCTTCATGATTGGAAAATAAGTGCAGGACAGTCACCCAAAACTGTGTGCTCAGCCCTGCTCATTCTCCAGCCCTTGGCACCCAAGAGGAGAGAGGGATTGCGGTGGGCACACCTCCAGCTCCCGACCCCACGAGACCCCCACTGCCTGGCTCTGGCCTCAGGCCATCTCTCTGCCCACAGACAGGAACCATGTCTCTCCTCGGTGCTTTACCAACTGATTGGCCAGAAAGGGCCTAGGGGGCATTAGCCCTAATGTAGATATTTTTTCAGATCACAGTGTGGTCATGCCTGGGAACCAGACTTTAAAGATCGTCATCACATAATGCCTCTTCTCTCTGTTCAGCCTTCCCATCACTGTACCCAGGAGAGGGGGCCCAGGCCCATCCCTGGTCCCCACAGGGAGAACCTATGGCCAGAGGTGGCTCCATGGTTGTGTGGCATGGGACCCTGAGTTCAGAGTCCCCTCCAGCCACCTCCAGCCCCAGCTTAGTTTGATGTTCTACTGTCACTGTCTTGATAATTTCTGAACCAGGGGCTCCGTATCTTTATTTTGTACTGGGCCCTGCAAAGTATACAGCAGATCCTGCTTGTGACATGGCATTTTTTGTAGAAAACACCCAGAATCCAGCCCATGGCACAGAAGCTTCTCCCAGGAGGAGCCGCTCCTGGTGAGAGAAGCAGCTGAGCCCAGTGGCCTAAATTCAGGACCAGTCTTGGTCCCTCCCCTCTCCCAATCCCTTCCCCCATCCCTCCCTGTCCTCTTCCCGGTGACATTCCACTTCCTGCTGCTGCCACCCTCACAATAGCCCCTAGGGGGCGCTGTGCTCTGTCTGAAGGGTACACTTAAATTCCAGCCCTGGGTTCCTTGGTGAGGAGCACCAGGATTTCCAGAAGGGATTGAACTACTAAACAGACTATCCAAGGAAGTGATCCCCTGAGCAAAGAGGAGCATGGAGGTTGTTTTTCCCAAAACTTTCTGCTCGCGTAAGATGTTCTACTCACACTTCATCCATCTTCAGTTCCTGGTCATGGAAGTGCCCCTGGTATAACTGGATCCCTTCCCCAGTGTGTGCCTGTATTCAGTCGCTCAGTCGTGCAGACTCTTTGTGACCCTATGGACCGGAGCCCGCCAGGGTTCTCTGTCCATGGGATTCTCCAGGCAAGAATACAGGACGGGGTTGCCATGTCCTTCTCCAGGGAATCTTTCCTACCCAGAGATTGAACCCACGTCTCTTGCATCTCCTGCATTGCAGGCTGATTCTTCACTGCTGAGCCCCCAGGGAAGCCCCCAGCCACTATGCCACACCGCCTCCCAACTGCCTGGCTGCCTTCGCATGATATAGAATCTCCCTGGGATGTGCCACGGTCCCCAGGAGCCAGCCTCATGGGGCTCCACATGCTGCCAGAGCTGTAAACACCGCCCCCTGTTTCATTTCCCCGGTGAGCCTGACCTTCCGAACGTGACCACGGTGAGAGTGTGATTAATGAGCCAATTACTTCTGTGGATGACATCGTGCAAAATAAATAGCCCATTTCCCTTCAATTTACAGTTTTAATAAAAAAAATAGTGCTCCGTGCTCTGGTTTTGTTTATGGCTGCTCATACCTGAAAGTTTGTGATGAATCTTTGCGTTGTTCATTTCCAAAATTAATCAGATCTGCCAGATGACTCTGAAATATAGGATTGCATTTGTCCTTCGATGTTAACAGCAAGACAGGCAGGTGGGGGCCCCAGGAAAAGGCGGGCAGAGGGGAAGGGTGAACGGAGGGCAGAATGATTAGAGCTC